CCCAGAGGTGAGTTAGGACTAGAAGAACAGCAAACTAGACCTGCCAGCCAGGCGGGAGGCAGCCTTCACTCCAACAGCCACTTCCTCCCACGACTGGGGGGCAGTGCTCCTCAAGCTCCAGAATATTCCGAGCCCTTACCAGACTGACCTCCTCCCTGGTCTCCACAGTGAGGCCCGGCGGAACCCCCAGGCTGTGCCCACACTTGCAGACAACGCCTGGTCTGCAGACCCGAGGCCCGGTGTCCACGGCAGAAATCGCACGGCGGGGGGTGGGGGTGGGGGCTGTGGGTGTGAGCGCCACTGTGAGCTGGCCATTCATGGCAGGTGCTCGGAGCACCCGTCCTAACCACCCACCCACACAGGGTGCTACAATGATTCAATGACTACATTAAATCTCTGAATATTAAATTAATGATGGAAATCTAAAATATTAATATATTCTAATTGAATATTCTCAGATAAATTATCTGAGCATTTGCAGCAATTCGATTCAACTTTCATTTCTTAAAGATCTTTCAGCTGCATAAATATAGCCATTAGAGCAATTCAAGAAAGGGAACATTTTCCGCTCCGATGAAGGAACGGTAAACACAAAGGATCTGCACATTTCTTTCACATGACTGATGAAATCACAGAACCCAAGGCAGCTGAATCCGCGAATGACTGCTTTCTTCAGGTCCCTCTGGCTTTAGCAAGGATGGTATAAATCCCCCCCAGGTCTCAACACGATATCTAATTACAAGGAGGCTTGACAGATGCTGTGGAAGATCTTGAATGGTGTGCTTGCATTGGGGCCGCACTTTTGGGACCCAGGCTGGGTGGGCAGTGCTTGACCCCACCCCCACAGGGGGCTGGGGAAGAGGCAGACACCACCTTGCAGGTAAAGGGCAAGTGGGAGTACCACCCTGACTCATTGCAGAAGGAGTCCAGAAGTTTCTATGAAAACGTTACTAGATAATTAAAGCCTTCCCTAAGGAGACATGTTTCCATTGGGGATGAGCTGACGACACTCAGAATGTCTTCTTCAATGAACCTGGAGGGGTTCCTTCCATTCCGGTGACCATCAGAGCAGCGGACTGCATGGTGAAGGCAGAGGTGACATCTCCACGAACGCTTTTTTTTTTTTTTTAAAGATTTTATTTATTTATTTGAGAGAGAGACACAGCGAGAGAGGGAACACCAGCAGGGGGAGTGGGAGAGGGAGAAGCAGGCTTCCCGCGGAGCAGGGAGCCCAATGCGGGGCCGATCCCAGGACCCTGGGATCATGACCTGAACCGAAGGCAGACTCTTAACGACTGAGCCACCCAGGCGCCCTCCATGATCTCTTTAGATCTTATGAATTACAAACACTGCAATATAACGTTATACCTTTGCTTTAAACAGTCAGTTGTCTTTTCAGTAAGTTAAGAGAAAATAAAATCTTTTACCTTAATCTGCAAATTTGCCTTTTCCTGTGCTCTTCATCCCTTCCTGTAAATCTAAATTTCCAGCCTGAATCCTCTTTTTTTTTCAGCCTGAAGAACGCCCTTTACCACTTCTTGTGGGTCTGCTGGCAATGAATTCCCTCAGTTTGCTTACCAGAAATGTCTTTATTTTACCTTCGATTTTGAAGGACATTTTTTTTCTGGATATAGAATTCTTGATTGATAGGTTTCTTTTTTTCATTCAGCAATCTGAAAATGGTATGCCTTTGCCAGTGGCCTCCTAAAGAGAAGCCAGCCCTCATCATCGCTGCCCTGTGATGTACTGCATCTTTTCCTCTGCTTTCAAGATTTCTATTTCTTTTTTTTGAATTTCATCAGTTTGACAATAATCAAGGTTTGGCTTTCTTTGTATTTATCCTAGTTGTGGTTCAATAAATTTCTTGGATCCGTAAGCTTGTTTCTCTTGTCCAGCTGAAATTTTGTTTTTCAGTTCTCCTCCGCCATTCTTCAGATCAGATGATTTATACTGGTCTATCTTTAAATGCAGTCACTCATTTGCCTTCTACCAGTTACTTGGAAACCAGTCTAGTGAGTTCTTTATTAGAGATGTGGTACGGTTCAGTTTCATCACTTCCAATTGGCTATATTTTTAGTTTCCCTTTTCTGCTGTGATTCCACATGTATTCATTCATTCTGACCACGTTTGCCTTTGAGTCCTTGAACATATTTATAAGGGATATTTCAAAGGTCTTGCTGGTCATTTTAACATCTAAGTGATCTCAGAGTTAGATTCTGTGGGTGATTTTCCCCTCTTAATTGTGGGTCACATTTTGTTTTCGTTCTATTTTCTGAGGGCATGTCTAGTAATTTTTGTGTGTGTATTTGATCATTGTGGTTGATACGTTGTAGAGACGGGTTCTGTTATCTTTCTCTGAAGGGCATGGATTTTTGTGAAGGCAGGGAGTTAATTGGCTGGACACAAAGCTAAATCTGTTTCCCTCGCAGTAGACAGCAGTCGAAATCTCTGCTCAGTTCTTTCAATCTTCTTGCTGTTGCTTTTCACTGGGTTCTCTGGAGTCTCCCTCATATATTCACAGCTCCCTGACTGGGCAGAGCTTGTAAGCAGATGTGGGAGTCCCCATCTGGGGCTCCATATTTTATGGGATTTATCCCCTCACACTCTGCTGCTTTGTCAGTTCTAAACTCCGTCTTCCAACTCCTCTGACCAGAGAGACTGAGGTTTTCTGCATGAGATCTAGCCACTCATTGATGGCAGGATGAGTGCTCGCAGACGGAAAGCCATATAAACAATTCCCTTCTTTCAAGGGTAGAGTCCACAGCAGTTTCTGTCCACTACTGGCCACTCTCCAGCCACTTCACATAGTTAAAGAAATTTCCTTGCAAGGTTTATAATCGTTATTTCAGAAGTGTTAATCTGGTATAAACTATTCCACCGTTACCAGAAGCAGAACTTCCAATGCAGTTACTTTCAAGTATTGTATAATTAACCTAACGGTCTTCAAAATGATCACGAAAGGCTGACCAGTAGAGATGGGCACAAGCGCTGTATCACTCATTCATTGGACAAACACTTAATGACACCTACTTTGTCCCCGGGGTTGTGCTTGACAGGTGGACTGTCTCTCAAGGATCTTTATGTTTAGTGGGGAAGACAGATCAATGATCGCTGACAAAACACTATCAAACTCTGCCAGTGGCAGAGGCAGGCCACAGGGCAGGCCACGGGGGTGCCGTGCTGCCCATGGGAGGGCCTCCGCCGGTCCATTCTCAGAGGAGGTGGGGAGTGGCCAGGCTGGGAGTGTCAGGGGCAGTGAGAAAACAGGCCAGGCTGATGGAAGAGTGTACGCAGGACTCTAGGCAACCGACGGTGTGATCAGTTGGCAAGCTGCTAGCAGCCCAGCATGGCTGGGGTTTGGTGTGCCGAGGGGCAGCGTCAGATCCTGAGGGCCTGTGTGACTTGCTAAGGAGTGAGACCCTGTCCTGGAGACAGTGGGGAAGCAAAGGAAGGGGAAAAACACACACATGTCACATTTCAAAAGGTCACCCAACTTCCATGAGATGGTGAATAATGACCACTTGGTCACTCCTGCATGAATGGATGCCTTCAGAGAGCCAGAGACTAAGTTCCTAGGTGGGCACTATGGTGCTCGTAGCACGAGGTCACCAGCAAACATTTCGTAGGGTAACAGTGAGTTAGAACTCAGCTGGCTCCATCATGTATATTCATACAGCCGATCAACATCTATGGAGAGTCAACCCTGGGCCAACTATGGGGTGATTCACCATGTCCCTGTCACATATGTCACAGAGCAGACCCTGACCTGGGGCACATCTCATTGCTCACTGAGCTCCAGAGCCTGTGCCCCAAAGACCCAGCCCGTCCGTGTCCACACAGAAGGTCAGCAGAGATCAGTGGCTGGATGTGAAGGAACGCAGCGTATGTGCACAAAATGGCAGCCAAACTTACCAAGGAAATGTGAATAAAGCCGTGGACTTCAGTCATTTTGAGCCCAGTCAGGTTGTTAGGTGGGAAGCTGATTTTCGCAATCCTTCCCAGCCCCCTGCAGCTGCGCTCTCATGAGCTCCCTGCTCTAGAAACAGCCTCCTGCTCATCTTGGCCACGTGGCCACTCTTGATGCTAAGCGATTATGTAACCATCTCCTTCCAGAATCTGACATTCAGAGCACCTTTTCCAGCCTCGCTCGGAGGACAGGTTTACATGCGTTCCTGTCTGTTAAAATACCAACTTCTAAAATTAAAGGGCTTGTCTCCCAAGCAGCATGACGTCTTTCCTCATCATCTTGAGCCAGCTCTGGCAGTTGCCCCGGACAACCTCTCAAGTTAACAAATTCTGAATTTTTATTAGACTTTTTAAAAGTTTGATTTTATCCTCACTCTGAATCTTGCCAGAAATCAGACCTAACACACATGCTAGAAAAGCAAGTGGCTTTTCAAAACCCTCCGTGAACGTACGCGTGAAGGAATTCTGACCTCGGTAGCCAAGGGACCAAATTCTGAACGACAAGCAGCAAGCCACCAGCCTAGTGGCCCCTGAGCCACAAAGGGACGCCAGTCCTCTCTCCTCTGAGTCTCTGGGGCCTGCACGGTGCTTGGCACCCTCCCATGGCCCCAGAGGGCTCTGTCCAGAGCCCAGAGCAGGAAGGTACCCTCCTACCACTTCCCATAACAAAAGGCCTCCTTCCAGCTTCCAGGGGATCAGCCTGTGAATGCCTCCCCCTCTGTTCTGAAGGAGGGATGGCCTCTGTGAGGGGCTGCATCTCCTAGCTCCCCACTTAGTTTAGACGCTGGCGGTGGGCAGACCTACAGGATACTCACGGCTCCCTGGGCCCCACCGGTGCCGCCCGCCTTCCCTGCTCAGGACTCTCCACCCAAGCAGGCTACCCGTTCTCCCCGCACCAGAGAACCAACTAGTCCTTACGGAGGGACGTGATATTCCTTCCAAGGAAAAAGCCTGTAATTAACAGAGGTTTTTTGGGAAGAACGTTCTGCCTGCTTCTCTCCCGCCCATTTTTGCATTTAACATATTTTATCAGAATGAAATGCTTTAATGAGCACAGAATTGCAGCTGATCCCAGCTGAACCTCAAAGTGCTCCACGCTCAGCTTCTCATCCCCATCAACTTGTATTCACATTCGCTGTGATTCCGGCTTCTTTCAGGAACAGCCTCCCACAAAACACGGGGAGGAAACTCATCAACTTCCTGCAGAGACAGCGCAGAAACGCACCCCAAAACCCTTGTCTGTGCTAGGTAAGAATTTAATGGGGGGAAAGGGGAGGGAGGCAGGAGGTGAGCACTGGAGAATCTGGGTGCATGCGTGTGCATATGAAGCGGGTGGGGGTGTGCGTGTGTGTTTCTGTACTGAGTTATTATATGATCACTTGGAGGCCATTTGGAAAAGACAAATCTGAAGGTCTCTCTCCCCCTGAGAATCTAGCTCGGCTTGGAAGCCCATGTACGAGTGGGAACAGAGGGGGAGGCTCCATGGGAATGCGCTCCATCACCTGCCATCCCAGAAACACTGAAAGTCCAACAAGTGAGGCTCAGGTGCCCTGGCCACTTCGGTGAGTGAGCCGACGGGCTCCCCGACAGCACCCACCACTGGACTTGCTTCAGTCTCTCATTCAGCCAACGTCATGCCTACCGTGGACAGCACTAGGGACACAGGAGGCCTGTTCCCAGACGCCCGAGTAACAAGCACGGGGTCAGAGGTACTAAGTGCGTGCAGGAAACGAAGCCGGGCAGCTGGGGACAGGAAGACCAGGCTTGGAGGAGGGCTAGCGATCAGGTCTGCCGGCTGGCCAGCTGCAGGCACCCCTGGTTCGGGCTCCCAGGCACAGCTGGGCCATCAGGGAGGAAAGGACATGCCTGTTCTCAAACCTGCTGGGGCAGAGACCAGCCCCTCTTCACACACATCCCCTTCCCTCCGGGCGGAGCGAGACTGCGTCTCTCGGTGTCTCTGGCCATCAGGCATGGCCACGTCCAAGCCCAGCCCCTCCTGCAGTCCTCATTCTGGGGCCCCAAGTGACCGTCGTAGAGAGCCATCCCTCCCACAAACGACCTTCACAGGAGCAAGAAATAACCCCTATTGTGTTCGGTTCTGAAATTTTGGGAACGCCCTTTACGGCAGTCAGCTAACACTAACCCACACCGTGTCCTTCTGCTCACAGCCTGTTTTGGAGCGGCTGTGCCCGGCACGGAGTGGCCGTCCCCACGGGGGCTGCTGGACACGGCAGGGTGTCTGAGGAGCCGAGGCGAGGCCACGCGTGCCCCCAGCGCAGCCACGGGGCAGACCAGGAAACAGGAGAGGCTACCCCTCGGCAGGGCTGAGCCGCTGCTTCCTGCTGTTCCCGCCTGACACCTAAGGCCGTGGGCCCGGTCCCCAAGTTCCCCGTCAGACATGTCAGCGACAGGGGGGTCTTCAGGACCCTGCATCTGCAGGGGCTCTGGAGCTCCTGCCCGTTGCTGCTTCCAAGCCTGGTTGGGCAAGGGTTGTGCTAACTGGGGAGGGGCGAGTCTCCCTGCTTTGGAGCCGTTCAGTTGGGAATGCAGCTTGGCCCCCACAGGAGCACGCAGCCGTCCCTGGCCCGGCTGGTCAGGGGGACTTCGCTCCTGTGTTGGCCTTGCCTCCAGCTCCCACCAGTCAGCCTCTGAGACCACGGCAGCTCCCTGGGGCAGAAATACAGAAGTGTCTTTTTCTCCATCATCCAGCAGGAGACCGACCCTGGGAGTCCTCGCGGGCCAGGGGCTCTGCCTACAACGGCTTTCTCTCCTGGTACTTTTCACAGGCCTGTGTGCAGATGGGCACAGAGGAGGGAAATTCCACGTATCCGTACCAGGATCACCAACCCGAGAAACTCTGAAAGCCGGCAGCAGAGTATTCCAGGGCTAGGATGCCCGCCCAAGGTCACGTGTGTACCCCGCGCGGTGTGAGCAGACGAGAACCCTCGGCATTCAAGCTCACACACTCACTGTAACGTTCCTGCCGGGGAGGTTGACGGGGGCAGACCTTCCCAGAGGTTGGGAAATGAGCTGGATCCGCACATGTCCAAACTAGGGCCCACGGGCCACATCTGGCCCACTGCTTGTTCTTGTAAATAAAGTTTTATGGGAACACAGACACAGCGATAGTTTATGTATTGCCGATAGCAGCTTTCACACTACAAAGAGTTGAGTATTTGCAACTGAGGCTGGTTGGCTGCAGAGCCTAAAATATTGACTATCTGGCCCTTTACAGAAAGAGTCTGCCGGTCCCCAAGCTACAGCAACAATTTTCTACTAAGCTGATTTCTGACTAGTACGAGCACAAGCCTTTGAATAAGACTGACGCACACAATGAGAAACTTGCTGCCTTTCCAATTTGCTTTTGATCCTGATGACATTCAAGAGGAAGCCCCTGGTCCCAGCACATCTTGAGAACACTCTGACACTTGCTCACGGCTTCCCTTGTAAACAAGTCCCGGGCAGCCCTCAGGCTCTGAGTGCAGACAATACACAGTCAGACATCAACCGCTTTCTTCACCTTATGCTTGTCTTACAATCGGCTTCTATCGTCACCAACAATACCAGCTTTCCAACTGTGAGCTAATACAAAGTCGGCTCTTAAAATAAACGTATTTATATTAAGGGTGAATCACTGATGAGAAGTGTTCGGTAGATAATAAGTGCTGGTCAGATATGACCAGGGCCCCGAGGGTGGTGGGTGCGCAGGGGGGCACAGAACCCTCATCCTGTCGGTGGCTTGGGGTTTGGTGGATGGACCCTGAACATGGGATTCCTGGGAATCTGCTTAGGTTGGGGTTCATGCTTCAAGTGCTTTGTTCAAGTCTGTGCCGTGTCACAGCGAACCTCCAACCAGTCAGGCCGAGCAAGGGGCAGGCGGTGCTCTGGGAAGCTCCCCATCTTGGGGGGGGGCGCGCTGAAGTCGGAGGTCAGAGTCTCCGAGTCTGAGGCTCTCGGATGCTTCTGCCACCTGAGGTCGGGGTTTTCCCCAGCAAGCAGTTCTGTGACCCCTGTTGGGCGCCTCCGTTGAACTGCATTGGGACACCAGCTGCTGGAGAGCATGTCCATCCACGGGGGAGGGCTCGGTCCCACAAGGCAGCTCCTACTCAGACGCCCATGGAAAGTCCATGTTGTCACCGCACTCCCGACCGACGGGCTGTAGGTGGGAGGTTCCCACGACCCTCTGGTAGAGTTCAGTCATTGCCAGAGCAGCCCAGAAAATGTTTACTCCATAGATTATCAGTTTGTTATAAAGAACATAACTGAACAGCCGGATGGGAAAGATGCACAGGACGAGGAGCGGGGAAGGGACGCAGAGCTTCCATGCCCCCCTCCCACCTTCCCACCCCCTCAGCACGCCAGTCTCCCTGCACCTCCCCAGGTCCGCCAACCTAAAGCTCCCCAAACCTTGGCCTTTGGGGTTTTATGGAAGCTCCATCACTGAGACATGATTGATTAAATCATCGGTCACCGGCCACTGGTGACTGACTCAACCTCCAGGCCCTCCCTCGACCCAGCGTTTCGGGGGTGGGGCTGAACGTGGGCGCCTCTAATCCTAGGGTTGGTTCCCCCAGCAAGGGCCATCAGCCCCCTTCCTCAGGGGACTTTCCAAAAGTCACATCATTAACATAACAAAAGACTGCTCCAGCGCTCTCAGCTCTCCGATAATTCCAAAGGTTTTAGGGGCTGGGCTTGGGGAGGAAGACCAACACAGGCTTCCCGTTGCCAATCACCACATCCCACGCTCGGCCTGCTACCGGCGCGGGTTTATGGCCCGTCACCGTGGGCGTGGTGTGTGTGGTGGGGCGTCTGACGTGGGTCCCCCTGCTTTGTTCTGCTCCATCTCTGCAGTTTATTTTATTATATTATTATTATTTTTAAAAATCTTATTTATTTATTTGAGGGAGAATGTGAGGGAGAGAGAGAACGAGCGGGGGGAGCAGCAGAGAGAGAGGGAGAAGTAGACTCCGCACAGAGCAGGGAGCCTGATGTGGGGCTCGATCCCAGGACCTTGGGATCATGACCTGAGCCGAAGGTAGAGGCTTAGTGATTGAGCCACCCAGGCGCCCCTGGTCTCTGCATTTTAAACACACACCGGGCTTCCAGCTTGAGCAGAGTGGGAAACAAAACAGGCTAATCAGTCTGAGGAAGGGAAGCAGGCCCTTAAGGATGCCCCACTGACCCTCATTTCCACCAAGCAGGGTGAGGTGGTCCACAGTGCATGGGGGACTACTTAATGGGATTCTCACCATCATTCTGTCAAATTATTGTCCAGATTGGGTTGCAATTTTATTCAAAAGGAAGAAGGAAATGCTAGTTGATGGCCTGAATTATTGAAATAACAAATTTGTTAAATGAATCCTTCCCTTCTCCGGGGGAAAGCACCTTGTGGTGGGGGCTGGGAGCAGGTGCACTGAAGGAGCCCACCGGAGGAGCTCATCCGAGGGCCGCCAAAGTGCCAGATTTGGGGTCAGAGCATCAGTCCCAAGATTTCCGGCTTCTCGCCAATATCCTCATCCACCATCACAGACACACTGTCTTTCCACCCTCCAGAGTCTTAGTCATAGTTGGAAAAGAATGTGAGCAGAGAAAGGTGTCAGAGGTCAAAGGCCAGGCCCCAAGTCACCACCCTGCCCCGTTCCATCAGCACGGGCGAGATGACCCATGTCCAGCAGGACCAGCTTCCCTAGAGGACGGGACTGCTGTTCTGATCTTTCTCTGTCTTGTGTCATCTCATTACTGAAAAGGTTTAGACGCCAAGTGCAGACCGTCCCTCGCTCTCCCTCCCTGACAAGCGCCCCCCGCTCCAAGCCCCACTGACTGACTTGCCAGATCCTGGAGGAGAGGGTGCACTGAGCCGAGACCCTCCTCAGCCAGCAGGAGGGGTCTCCACTTACCCGCACGAGCTGCTGTGGGAAGGGCCCGCGGGAATTTTCCGGCACGTTGATGGGTGGGATGACCCAGTCGCGTTTCTGTCTCCTCAGCCCACTGGCGTTCCGGTGCTGGGGCCACGGCAACAGCATGTCGCTGGGAGGCTGAGAGGCATCCAGAGCGGCGCTCTGCTTCCCTTTCTGCGGCGTTAGCCCGAAGCGGGGAGAGAAGAGCCAAAGAGGTCTGGTTAAGTTTCACGCAGAGGAAAAGGCATCTGTTCAGAGAATCTGTTCTGTTCTCCATCAACAGAGAAAGACTGGATGATGCTTGGGGAAGCGGCTAAGTGTTAAGGAAAAAAATCTAGCAAGACACCCATGTCACAAAATGGATTGCTGAATTGCATGGTGGGGGAAAGAAACCGTAAAAACAGAAGAATACGTCATAGGGTGAACCAGAGCTTTTAAATCCCTGAAGAATGGGGGGGAAAAGTCACAAAGGAAAATGCATTTTAGTTTAAAATACTTATTTATGAAAACGTACCCTAAAAGCAGTTGATGAATTTGGCAAACATGATTTGCAACAAATCTGTCAAAGGGTTAACAGTCTCACTATATAAAGAGTTCTTGCAAATCAATAAAAAAATAAATCTTTTTGTTAACAGGGAAAGGACCTGAATAGAAATTAACAGCAAAATAAAAATCAGTAGACTTATTAAAAATGTACACATCTCCCTGTAATCAAATAATGCAAATTGAAGTAATAAATCCTCTTTACCTATCAAACTGACAAGACTAAACAAATGGATCCTCAGGGCTGGGGAGTGTGTCGTGTTGTCAGGAGAAGTGACGGTGGAGGGTGCGGGACCTGGCGTTCAGCAAATATTTATGTGCATCCAAAGGTTCACTGACTCCGGGCAAGTTGCTTCATCTCTCTGAACTCCAGCTGCTTTTTTTTATAAACTAGGGCTGGTAGTAACAGCACTAAATTCACAGGGTTGCTATGGCAGTTACACTGATGAGAGCCCCTGCCTATCAGGCAGCCACTGGGACTGGATGCTGATGGGGCCCAACACTGCTGGGTGCTGACCACAACCCTCGGCAAGCTGTGGGCCAGTGACCATCCAGACCCTCAAAAATCGTCCTCGATGTCAACTCTACGTCAGTGAAAAAAACAAAAATGTCCTGGCTTTTGACCCAATAGCTCCACAGCTGTCCCAAAGAAACTATATGTAAATGAAAATCTCCCTATAAACACGTTCATTGCAGATGTTTTTATAATAATATTATGCATATATAAAATAATAAAAATATGAGGAAAAAACCTCTGGAGATCTGATAGCAGGAAATACTAGTTAAATGCATTATGCTGTGTTCATATCTTGGGAGATTACACAGTCACAGAAAGCTACTCTTTGAAGACTAGGATATGGAGAAATGTCCATAAAATAGTGGTAAGTGGAGAATGACACCAAAGTGTACACGTAACCATATTTCCATTTTTTTTTTTAAGGACAGAGAAAAGATTGGAAGGAAATACAACAAAATGTCAACTGTGGTTTTCTCTGATCACCAGTGAGCTTTACGCTATTTTATTTTACTTTATTCCTTTTACCTTTCTATATTTCTGAATGTTACAATGTATATGATTTTCTATAATTAAAGGAGCCAGCAGACCCCCATGGACAAGCACGGCAACTGTGTAGACTCCCCACAAACATAGACAGCACCTGCGTCGACCTCCACATACACGGATGGCGCCCCCGCAGACCCCCGGGGACACGCAGCACTTCAGAGCTCACATGGCAGAGAGAGCCCTGGATGGGGACAGCCCACGGCACCTGGCTACAGTCTACACCACTCCAGTCATGGCAGGTCCCACTCTCTGCCTGAGTTCCAGGTCCATCCAGCAAGATGGCCCCGGGTGGTCTTACCATTGCCCTCTGTGGACAGAGAACCTAGCCCACTCCTTTTTGCAAAAGAGCTGCATAGAAATAAGTTAAAAACAGACAAAACTGCCTAAGTGATGAAAAAATAAAATCTCATATCCGCCCCAAATGCCCGAATCAATGGGAAAACCCATCTGGACGAGCCCCACTGGAAGGAGAGAGCCCCGCTGGGACTTTCCCCCCAGGGCCCCAGCTGTCTCAGGGCCTCGAGCTCCTGCAGTCAGGTGTTTGAA